CTGTCTTCTGTGCTTGGCTTCTCGGCTCCTCCACCACCTGTGTAGCCAGTCCCTCGAGGGGTCTCGTCTCCCTGGCTGGGCTTGACTGATCCAAGGGGAAGCACTGGTACAAGTTCTCTCACTGCAAGAATCCTAAGGAGCAGTAATAAGGGTCTGAACAGAGGTTTACACTATAGCGGGGATGGAACTTGGAGACCTCTGAGGCGGGTAAGGGCTAAAATAAATTGTGGGTGACTTTAGGGTAAGGCAGGGGTCAGCCGACTTTTTCTGTGAAAGGCCAGGGAGTAAATACTTCAGACCTTGTAAGTCGTCGGGTCTGTCTCAAATACTCTGCTGATATTGTACAAAAGTGGTCCTAAACAATATATAAAGGAATGAGTATAGCTGTGTCCCCAAAACATCATTTACAAAAACAGATGGAGGCTGGAATTGACCCGTGGGCCATAGTTTACTGACCCTGAGTGGAAGGAAGGTATGTAGTGATGTGAGCAAAAAAGGGAATCCAGAAAGAAGAAGTGATGGGGGTGGTCAGGCTAGGTGGTGGGGAGAGAAAGTAAGGAAGGGTAGGGGTGGGGGATGAGGCTTACGTGTAAGTCGAGAACATCAAGCATTGTGAGAAGAGAAAGAAACACTCAATTATTTTCTCACAGAGCTGGTAACCAGTACAAGGATTAGTTCAGTAAGAAATCATTCACCCATGGAAGGGATGGCCACGTCCACAGATGGCAAACAGGCCCTTATCTAACCCCTTACTAGCTGAGAGGTGAGTAGAGGAGATGCGAGGGGGAGGGAGACAAAGGCTATACTGATCTTAGCAACCAGCATTCTTATGTCTAGAAAAGACCACCCACTGTTGAGAAGTTTGGGGAACACTATACCAGCTGCCATTTTACCAATTACCCATTAATCGCCACAGCTGGATTTTGGAAAATGATCATACCTGAAGGTAGAAACCTGATGTTTCATCTGCCCCCTCAGCATTTATCAGAATTGGCACGCAGCAGTAGCTGAAAAATAAGTGTGGGTTGACCATGAGTATGAAGGACAGAATCTATTTTAAAACTTTCTTGATCTATTTCATCTTTAATTTTTTCTCTAGCTTTTCATGGTTTTGGATAGCCTTTCAGACTATTGATGGTTAATATATACACTATGCTGGCTAAGGTGTCAAGTATTTAAAAATAAATAGGTGCCAGTTAACCAAACTCAACTTCTGAGGTTTTATTATTTTTTTTAAGGAATCCCATTATTTTAAATGCACTTGACTATACTCAGAGGCTAACTACATGCTAGATATGGCAGTCTTCTAAATAGGCATGCGCACAGAATGAAGAAATACCACTAAGCGCTGAAACTTTCTGATTGTAAACAGTGTCTGCAAACTGTAGGTCCATAGTCTCAATGCCACCCCTGGGCAAAACTCTTAGATGAATGATAATAAGAATGGTTTGTAAGCTCCTGGCATGGGGGACAGCTTGGGCTCACTAAGGTATAGTAAGTGAATGAATGAAGGAAGGAACGGTTGAGTGAATTGTGGTTGCCTTTTATATGAGGGATATGATTCTTAAGACCTCATATAATTTAATACATGCATAAATCAAGACTAATTCCCCCATAGGCATAAAGTGGGATTTACATTATTTTAAATTTTGTACATTAAGTGAAATTTGATTCTTTTCCATTGCCTTATTTCAAATTTGCATAATTCATATTAGCATAGAGTATGACTTTCTTTTCTTTCTTTCTTTTTTTTTTAATAAAGGAAGACTGTGGACTTATACCTGGAGATCAAAGACGTATTTGACAAACTTTTCATTGGATGGAGGATAGTAAGCAACACCTTCATAAAGCCAGGTGCATGTGTAACTATTGGGTTGTTGGAAAAGTCATAATGCATTTTTTTCTGTTTTTCATTGCAAAAATGCATCATGACTTTTCCCAATAGTTAAATGATTGCCCTCAAAGGGTGTTGAGTGAAATGAAAGTTGACCTACAGGGGGACCGGTCTCCAGAACCATTTGGCTCCAGCTTTGTCCTAATCAATATACAAAATACACCTTCAAATCTATGATCAAATGATACCTGGAGGGAAGTGTTTTGGAGGATAAAATCAGGACCCTCACACCCCCACCCCACAATGGGCCAAATCTAAGGAGGTGACATTGAATAGAGGTAAATATAAAGTCCTGCACTTTGGCCCAAAATGGATAACCGGAGACATACACAAACCGCTGCAACTTAGCTGTTTTATTAATAGCAAGTTCAATGTGAATCAGTGGTGTGATCAGACTTCTAAACGTGAATTTAGTCTTTGGATATATTAATCAAAATAGAGGATCTAGAATGAAGGAAGTGATAGTTTCTCATCATCAGGCTCTACCTGGAGTTTTCAGCTTTCGGTTCTGATTACAAACTGGAACGCGTCTAGAAGAGAGAAAGAATAGGCAGAATTTGGAATATATATTATAGAAAAGATTTAGGGAGGAAATTATTCTTGTTTTCAAACAGGTAAATGGTTTGACATGTGTGAGATGATTTAAGCTGGTATTTTTGTCTTTCTAGGCTAGTCCAAAATTTTCAAGTGAAAGTTTTAGGAATTGGGATTTTGTCTTGCTATAAGGACAATTAAGAACATCTGAAGGTGAAAGGACCATCTGAGGTCAGGTGATGTGCTTGGTCATCCTGGCACCATTTAAGGGCTCATCAGGAACTTTGTAGAAAGGAGACAACAAACCTGATTCCTTCTCTTTTGAACTCTTGGAGAGTCAGTTACAGATGACTCGGGAAAGGAAAAAAATAAATGGCCAGTAAATATATGGAAAATAATGTAACTTTGCTAAAAATTAAATGAAAATTCAGACAGCAATAAAGTACTACTTTTGTCTATTAGCAAAACTTAAAGAGAAAAATAAATTCCAATAGTGTTAAGGGTGCAATGAGATTGAGGTTTACATGAATTGCTATTTGTACTGGTGCCTTTTAGAAGGCCTGAATAGAAAGAGCTGTTAACATTGACAGTGTTTTTGTTCCATAATCCAATAGGATACTGAACCAAAAGGCAAGCTGAAAATATGCAAATAGTCACATACCTGAAGATGTTCATTGTGGTATTAATTACAGAGAGAAACCAGCAGCAATTTAAACAATGGGAAGTAAGGTAACAGTTGAAGATGACGAGACACCCACATAATAGAATGTTATGTATCATTTAAAAAGATAGTCATTTTCAGGCCAGCTGAGTGGCTTGTTGACTGAGGGTTGGCTTGGGAGTGCGAGCTCTGAGCAGCAGGGCCCCGGTTCGGATCCCACATGAGGGCCAGTGACACTGCCCTCTACAGCTAAGATAGTGAACAACAGCTCGACCTGGGGCTGGGCTGCCATGAGTCACCGGTGACAGCGTAGGCTGCAGTGGGGCTGCCGTGGGCTGCCTTAAGCTGCCGTGAGTGGCTGGCAGCCAGCGTGAGCCGCTGTGAGCTGCTGTCCAAAGGCCAGCAACTGATCTGCCTCAGCCGGGAAGAGCACAATGATCACAATACCAACATGGGCCAGTGAAGTGACGTCCTCTGCAACTAGACTGAAGAACAAGGGGACAGCAACTTGTCTATTCCTCTTCCCCGATTTCCAAATGCTGTTCCCTCCCCCAATTCTCCCAATAAAATCTTTAAAAAAAAGTCATTTTCACTATAGCTATATGGAATATGCATAGATGATGTTAAGTGCGCATCTGTGGGGGATTGCCAGATACAGAGTTCCACAGATATGAATATAATTACACACAAATGGCTGGATGTGACCAAAGAAGGAAAATTTCCTCTTTTAAGTCTGGCTCTGCCACTAGCTACCTGTGTCATTTTGTGCAAATCCTTTTTCTGTTCCTAAATTCCCTGGTCTGTAAAATAGGGTGTTTGGACTCAGTGGCCTCTAACATCCCTTCCAGTTTTATGATATAAGCAGAACGAGCCATTTAATGAAGAAACTGTATCCCAGCGGGATTAAGGAATCAGCCTGTCTTGTTTTCAGACTTTCCTCATGATAGTGCACATCTTCTATGTTATGTATTTTTAGAAATCAGTTTTGAAATCATGAAACAAATAGAATTTCTTGATCCCTCCCAGATAAATTGCTGCATCTTGAAGATTTAGTCATATGCCCATAATACTTTGTTATGGATTAACATAAAACAGTTCTCAAGTTACTAGGGTACTGTGTAAGTGCCCAGGAATGGTTTCAAATCAAGATACTACTTCTAGGACCATTACTTGGGTAATACTTAAGGCCAACCATAAAGTGTGGCTGCCATAAAAACTGCCCATATCAAACATTTTCTGTAAATAACTCCCTAGGTGACAACAGAGTATCTGCACAAAGTCTGTCAAAATGATAACACCTCTGACATTCTTATCTGACCTCCAGGGGACATTGACTGTCTCAGAGAGGGACTAAAACTCTGGTAGTAGCTTGTTCCGTGTAGTGAAGGCCCAACTGGGGGCCTCTGGGCTACAATAGTTTAAATGGGAAAGAAGACAAGTGGAAAAGGTAGAACTGAAATAACACTGCAAGACAATAGAAAAAACTGCCACCAGAGTCAAATTCCTCAAATTAAGTATTGCCCGTGATTTTTGTTAATGAGTCATAGGCTACCTTCATGAGGCAGTTCACTTTTTAAACTCAAGCAGCTTTCATTTAGCACCAACTCTTGCCCAGTGACCACTGGGCAAGTGACAAGTGTCCGGCAACTCTTTAGACCAGGGTTGGAATTCCTGTGACCTACAGGGGAGCCCAGTTTGCGTTGCGCACTTGTGTATTTTTAGAAAAGGTGTGTGATTACCCACCAAAAGGAAAGCGGGCACGAGGATGGGTACAGTAAGTGCAGCTGAGTCCCTAAAAGTGGGACTGTGACAAAGCAGCACACCCTAGTGCAGTTAAGAAACAGAACCGATTTTCCTGCTCAGCATTTGCACATGGAGACGCAGTGCACACAATACTCCGTGGCCTTGTTCTTCAATTGATGCAACTCAGTAATTTTTATTGCAACTGGAAGACAATACATCACAGAAACTTTATGGTAGGTCTGGGGGAAAGTGTTATTTACAATAAATGATGAAATAGTTTGTCTTTGGCAATATGATTACATATGAAGGATGCGAAATGCAGGTATGGACACCTCCAAAGCAACGCTATCAGGTCCCTAAAGTTCGGCCGGTTGCCCCCGCCTCCACACGGCTCCCTCAGGTAACACAAACGCAACTGAACATCACTTTCTTTCTCCTCTATGGTTCTGTCTTTCTATTCATGATATTGGCAGTTTCATACAGAAAGTACAGAAAAAAAAATTGGCTTTTGAAAAATTATTACTTTAGTAAATTAATTTGGCCATGTAGGTCTATTGGCCAGCAAAGGTCAGATGACCCTAAGCATCAACAGTAAACCTCTTGGTCTTCTGATTGCTTTATCATTGTTATAGATTTTTTTTTTCTGTAAAACAAAAACAAAACTCAGAAATGTTACAGAATCAGAGTATAAAAAAATGTACAAGTGTATAATGCTTCCCAGACACACACAAATACTTTTTTTCTCCACATTTTCACCATGGCAGTAGAAGTAGTGAGTGTGAATGACACAGCATGAAACTGGTTACTGAATCAGGTATGAGCTCCGATGGCCTCAACATACATACTCAGGAAAAGCTTAATGTTTAAATAACTGAAACTGTGCTACGTTTTATCAGAAAAAAAAAAGGGGTGGGGTGGGGTGAGGAACTCAGGCCACAGTGATGAAAGGATGAAATACAATTTCTAGTTTGACAGGTTCACCATATCGAAGACTTTGAGAATCCAAGATGGAATATTAATTATTTGCAAAAGGTAGAGAAGGTTGTTCTCAACTTTTGCAAATGAAATACAGTGGAAAACACTGTCGTATGTATTCCAAATAAATAGTCTTGATTTCAACGCTAACAAAACAAAAAGGAAGGGTACTTGTGAGCATATCACAGTAAGTCTGAAGTGATCTTTCACCTAGGTCTGATTTCAAAAGTATGACAGACAGTAGGATACAGCACCATAGACACATCGGTTTCTGCCATTGAAAGATGGATTATTTTTAAAATCGTATTTTTCTTCCTTAGTTTTTGGTCAGTGAAGCTATGGCAAGGTCACACGCATTATTCATGATAAAGCAACCGAGCTGACAAGTCTGTGCTTAATTCAAGAATGACCAGTAGGAGAGAGAGAAAACAAGGAGTTAACCACCATCGCAGGTACTCTCTCGAAGGAAGAGGGATTAACAGATGAATTCACAAAGGTAGGCGGGTCTATACAGAACACTGAATGCCATGTGTAAATTCTCGTGAAAACTCCAGAAACAGGAACACCATACAATGTATATACTTTGATTTACACATTCCGTTACAAAGAAAAGAAAAAAAAAGACACCATTACAACTTTGTAACTGTGTTAACTGCAATATAAACCAAAGTCCCCGTTTGGCAGGTAACTAAAAGAGGGTTATCCACTTAGGTTATATAGCAAAAGTGTTGATGTATATTATATATAGTAGTATAAATAATAAAAAAGTATTATTTAAATTAGATCACAGTGCTGCATTATGTGCATAACAGTGTTTGATATAGTATTGGAGGGCCGGGACCTACGACACTAAGGATTTAACTGTCAACACTGGTTAAGTCACAATTAGGAGGGGACACAGAGTTCAAATGTATTCTTTTGGTGGCAAAAATCCTGAAGATGAAAGAAAAATACTTCTCTACAGAAACATAAAAATAAAATTGCAACATCTGGGCAGCTGTGATCCACCGGAAAGAAAGAACTCCCAACCTGAATCAAGTTTAAAGGGAAAGAGAAGTCACATTGAATTGAATCCAGTCCCATATGGAAAACCCTCCCAAGTAGGTCACTTGTACATAACTCTGACTCCTTCTCCAAGAGCCCTTCAATGAGAGGCTAAGAGCCCACGCTTGTGTGCGGGACACAGCACTTGGCACCGAGCAGTCCCGGAGTGTCCCAGGACTGAGCTGGGCACAAAAGCCATCCGGGTGGTTTTCACTCTACAAAGCCCACAGGCTGAACTTAATCCTCAGGCAGAAACACCATGCAGCACTATGGCCTCGTCCAGAACTCCCCCCCACCCCCCCCCCCCATGGTAATAACTGCCATGCCCAGCAAGGGCCAGACACGCTGAATGCCTCTACAAAAAACAAAAATCAGTTCTTGGAAAAGGCCTCCAACACATTCCTTCTTAAAAACTCAGCCCCAAAGACTGAAACTTGCCACAGCTGTCTTGGCCATGGTTGTCTCCAACCACCACCTGAATGCGGGTTGGGTTTCTTTTTCACTTCAAATAGCTTTACCAAAGAACTCTTGAAAGTATATGGATTGGGGGGGGGGGGGAGAGTAGGAGCTTATGGTATATTATAAGGCTGGGAAAAAATCTATGATGCAAACAAACCCTTTCCACGTAGTACTAAAGATAAAAAGACAACGGTAGTAGCATTAAAAATAACTGTCTATGTGTATATCATTTAAGAAAAAAGAGCCAGTCTCTTTCTCTTAAATGTGTCCAAGGGCCAACAGCAAGGAACTGTGGATGTTATGGTGCTGAAGTGTTCACGGCTGTTTTCCAAAGCATCTTTAAATATTGCTATAGTTCCCCATTTCCCCCTCCCACCCTGCCCCATGTGAGTACGTGAGATACTGGAATGACACAGGAAACGCCAATTCTCCCAGCAGGAGAAATGAAAGCAAAACCACCACACCCCTTGAATGGTGCTCGGGCGATCTGTCCGACTAATGAATACATATGCTAGTTTGGAAGCTAAAAGAACACCTGACGTTTGGGAAGGAATTCCAAGACTAAAGTGAAATTACACTTGAGCAAAATACGCTTTCACACATAGGCTTGTGCTTAAAATTCTCTACTGCTCTTGGAGGAGGGGGTGAGAGAGGGTGCCTCTTGCCCCTTGGCTTGGTGGGGACACGGACAACCTCATTCTGCAATGAATTCACTACAAACGGCCACATACACATCGATACTTTTTTTGTTTTCCTCAACAATCAAAATACAAAGTTAAACACAATTGAGCCATTGTTTTGGTTATGCATAATGTGTATGCCTCCAAAAACAGAAGAAAAATAGAAAAAAGTACCCTCACTAAAGTTTCCCCCGGAAGTCTCCCAGCGGCTCCTATGAAGGGGCCACGGGAGACTCAGGAAAATAACCCTTAGAAAGCTGCCCGATGAGGTATTTATGCAAAAAGAGTGGTTCCGGAGTTAAGAACACACTTTTATAAGATAGTTATCTATTTCTCAAAGAGATCAGAAAAGTAAATCACACACATTGCATTTTATTATTTTCTAAAGGTCTTTGCTCCTTTAGAAAAATGAAATGAGGGGAGACAGCCCACTGTGGGGGGGGTTTAACTGGAAGTCCCCTGCCAGAAACGGTCCTGAATGTTTACTCTGCCTTTCAGGAGGGAAGTCTGAATTTTATCTTGGGAGTGGGGTGAGGGTGGGGGGTCTCCTGGGCTTGGTCAGGTGACAACACAAAGTGTCGCTCAGGTTCCACAGCTGTGGATGGCTTTTGGGGGTGTCAGGTGCGAGATGCAGGGAACATAGTGCTTCAAAAATACATCCTTATCCCCATCTGTACCCTGAACAAATATGCTGGAAGAGCTCAGGTTCAGGTAACAAAGGTGACCTGTTATATAGGTGTTGATTTTTTTTCCAGGGTGTCTCATCAGCATCCCAGAGGAAGATAAACATGGGGCGCGCACCAGTGATTTTCCACTGTCCTGGCAGATGGAGGTTCTGACAGCGCCTGGTGCTGGAGGATGGGCTCCACACGGGCCCACGCTCCCCTTTTAAAAGATTGAGATCACCCCAATTCCATCCCTCTCCCTCACCATCATATCCTGAGCTATGGTAGTGGGTGTTTTTGTTTTATAGTTTCCCTCCATTTGAGTGGAAGATCATATTCTTCTAGAGATTTCTTTTGATCTCCCCAAATAATTTCTTTTAGGCAAAGATAACAGGAATTTCTGGTCTGCGTGACATCATCCTGTTGTCTCAATTCAGCTCTCACAGTCTAGGTGGGCTTAATTCCAGGTTGGTTCATGTGCTGAGGTGGTAGAGATGGCTGGCCCCTCCGTCCCACCGTGAGATGGCGTCACAGGAAAACTGTGGGGGCTGGTCCTTCCAACACCCGTGTCCCTTCCTCCTTCACGTGTACCCTAACTCACACCCTCATCCAATAAGGCCCATTAGTGTGTTTCCCCTTCTCCTGGCAAATTTGCATAATTATTCACTGCCTTTTTCCTAGAGCCAAATCGCAGTAATGGTTTTCTCAAGTCAGCGTCCCGTAATTCTCTTGATTCTAATCATACACACTCACTACTAAGTTTGCCCTCAAATTATTGCGTCATGATAAACATGTACAGACAGAGAGAAAGGACACACTTTTCAACAGAGAATCAGAGGGGGTCGGGGATGAAGAGCAGACAAGGCAGCACAGAGCTCCACCATCCAGGCCCTACCGGAACGTGAAGATATTTTTATATTGCAGAGGAAGTTCCCCAACAGTCAGAATTTGTCCCTGAAGAAGGTTAAACCTTAAACACCTGCTTCAAAAAAACCAAAACAAAATAATTGGGAAAAACAAAACAAACAAAAAAATTAAAGGAAAAAAAAAAAAGAAAAAAGAAGAAAACCAAAAGAACCTCTAAGCCTAAGGGCTTAAAAATTAGAGGCATAGCCTTTTCTCTATTTTCTATATTTATATGAAAATAATTCATGCTTCATGCTAAATACATTATTTACCTTACAAGAACTTTGTTATTTTTGAATTAAAAAAGGTTTGTTTTTGTGATTTTTTTTTTCTTTTTTTTCTTTTTTTCGAAGGAATCCATGCATTGTGGATCAGAAATTTCTGCTGGCTACACTGGCTGAATGTGGAAATCACTGATTTTTGCAAAGATGAATCCTGATTGACATTACTTGCAAACTCCCATTTGGAGGGCAGTATAGGAGTATTTTTTCTTTTTCTTTTTTTTTTTTTTGCCCATCAATGTGCCTTTCATCTTTTTCAAATACACCACAATACTAATGGCAGGTTCCGTAGCTTTTTGCTTGTTTGTTTTCACTTAGATCAAATAGTTTTGACAGACAGAAAAAGATATGTACCATTATTTCCTTCCTTAAACAGCTACTGTCATTTCTTGGACTTGATTTTCAGTTGGGCAGTTAAGAAGGCATAGCTTGTTTTCTGCATGTTTTATCTTCTCTCTCTCTCTCTCTCATGTGTATGTGTGTGTATGCGTGTATGTGTGCAGGGCCAACCTTCAGGCTTATGGCTTGTGGAGCATTCTCTTAATATATTGGGTTGTCAGAAAAGTCATGATGTATTTTTTTCTGTTTTTCGTTGCAAAAATGCGTCATGACTTTTCCGACAACCCAACAGAACAGAATTCAATGATTAGAAACATCCCTAAAAACTGACCCCATTTCTTCTCATTAGTCCTTGACAGCTGGTGTATATACACCGTCTAGCGTCCACCTCATAAGATGTTAGGAGGCTTCACGATTAAGAAGCACGGAGGACTGGTGACCGACCCTCTTGCACTCTGTGTGGCAACACCAAGGGTTTTCCTGGCCCAATTTGCAGCCTGGTGCCACGAGCCTGAGACTGCTCCTAGGGGAATGGATGTCTTCCTTTCCCCCAACTGCATCACGCACCTTCACGCAGTGAACCCAACTGGGTGGACATCCTGACCTTTTAAACCTAAGGGTTGGGCCTCATGGATGATTACTTTACTTTGCACACGTGCCTTCTAGGCGCTGCATATGGGTGTCCCCGTGGCATTATCCTTTCCATCCCTGTGGATTCAGCCACGTGTTTCTGACAAGCTGGAGGAAGCAATGGTCATTTTGGCTTTTTCGGTTTTGTCTTCAGATAATGAAAAGCTTTTGTAAAACAGCTGAGTGTCAATATGAGTTCTATGGCTTCAATCTCCTTTAAAAATAAAATTCTTAAGGGCCCAAAACAAAGAAGGGGGGTAAATTAAAAAAAAAAAGAAAGAAAGAAAAAGAAAACCAAACCAAAAAAAAAAAGAAAGAAAAAAAATAATAATAAATTGCTGATATTGCCACAAATCATTAGAAATCTCCTGACATGCTGAAACCAAATGGCCGTAAGTTCAAAACAAATCAGTGACTTGTTTTTAATTTTTTGTGGTTTCCTTTTGCTCTTTCTGCCCCTTTGCCGTCCGATTGGTGATGTTATTCAAACAGGACCGAATCCCCGCCAAGTGCAGGAGCGACCCGGCCGCCTCTTTCATCTCCTCGTCATCGCTCTCGGGGGGCTTTTCCGTGCGTCTCTTTTTGAGGGGCAGCGTGTCGCTGGGGACCTTCCTTGCCTTGGCGAAGTGCTGGCGCTTCTTGTGCTGGGCCGCGTAGCCGCTGTCCCCCAGAGTATCCTTGGCCTCCTTCGGGCTGTGTTTCCTGTCGTCGTCCTCCGTTTCACTGTGGCTCTCGTGGCTCTGGAAGCTGCCCTCGCTGCCCTCCTGGCCCCCCTTGGTGGCAAACTCGTAGTGGTCGTCGGCTGAGGAGGAGGAGACGGAGTCGCTGGCGGGCGAGGCGCTCCGGGCGCTGGAGGCCTTGGCACTGCTGTAGTTGTGATCCTCCTTGGGGTCCCCGCTGACCACCGGGGAGCCGCAGGACGGCTCGCTCTCAGTCCGCATCCGGCAGCCGGGGAGGCCGTTCCTGGGGGACGAGGACAGCGGGGAGGGGTGGGAGACAAAGAGAGGACACGGGTTAAAGCCCTCCGGTGAGACCCCCCGCCTGCGTTCGACACCGCCCACCCGTGGACGCGCCACCCAGCAATCTGCCAACCGCGCGGGGGCAGCAGGTGGCGCTGCTTTGAAGACGGTCCCAAATCCCGACACCTCCGTCTCTCCTGCTTATCTCCCATCGTTGGCATTTTCACTCAATTTGTGCCGCTGAGACGTCAAAACAACACTCTTCTGAAGTGACAGCGGTGGAAGCGCAGCCTCTTACATTAAACCGTAAAAATCAAGCTGTGCTGCGTTTCGCACACCCGCCAACGCCGAGGAGTAGACACCGCCCGGCGACGTTGGCTGGGTACTTCAGAGAAAAAAGCCCACTCCCTTTCTAAAGCTGCTACATTAGGAGCCTTTTGTCAGAAGACAGAATCTGGCGTTGAGCAAAAGAGATACCTGCTATGTGGTGACAGCTATTCACTCACGCACTTCCTTCCTTTCTCATTCATTCCTTCTACAAATATTCACTGAACACCTACTATAAATGCAGGGCCTTAGGGAGGGTCCCGGGGGAGGCATCTGGGGTGGAATCGCATACAGACACTGTCACAACGATGCTTACAGTCAGAGAAGCAAGTCCTGGTTAGATCCCAGATGGGGGAGCCGTGAGCTACCATCAACTATTATAAACTCAGCACCTGCCAGGTGCCACGCAGCGTCTACATAGGTGATTGCGTTTAACGCTAAAAAGTGGATGTTAGCGTCCACTTATTTCACAGATGCCAGAAGGAGCTGGCAAAGTTTAGTGATGTACTTCAAGCCACACAACTAATAAGCAAGAGGGCTGAGACTGAAACCGAAGTCTGACTCTCAAGCTGGAGCTCCTAGCAACATCATCAGACCAACTCTCACTCCTGTCCAATTTCCCTAGAACTGGGTCTCCTGGTAGACATTCTCATCAGGACCCGACAGCATTCATCACACCCCTGATTAGTTTATCATCTCGTCACGTCTGAGCAATGAACTGACTTCCTTTGTGCTTCCTTATCAGCGAAGTGCGAATAGTAATTTCACCCACTTCATGGGGTTGTTGGGTCAAGGATGTGAGTGAGCGCCTGCAGGTGTCTGGACCAGGGTCTGGCATGAGAGTGAGGGCTGTGACGCAGATTCCTGGGTAGGCCACACGCTCCTTGGGGTGGGCACTGACTCTGTCCTGCCGGCTGCTGTAATTCTGATGGTGCCTGGCACACAGCAGGTGTTCAGAAGGAGCTGTGATCAGAGAGATGAATATCCCCAGGAGGGAAGAGCTGCTTATAACTGGAGGGGGCAGGGGAGGGTCCAAGAAAAAGGTCTGTGGAAGACATGGCTTCTGACGTGACGGTTGAAGGTGTGGGGCAGAACAGAGAGGAGATATGTTCCATTGCACTGATATGTCCCCAGTGGCTAGCGCTGTGCCAGGCAGTGGACATACGATAATATACTGACATGTAGGAGCCGATGGAATTGTGGGGCAGAGAGCAGGAAGTCTGGGAAGATGGCCGTGGATACTCCTGAAGGATACCGCACCGGTGGAAAGGCTATGGGGCTGGGCTACCAATGAGACAGCTATTCTTTCTCCTTTCTCTCTTGCCACCCCTGTGAACCCAGAGGCTCAGCGAGACCCTGGTCACAGCCCAGACAGCAAGGGAAAGGGGAAGAGAGTCCCTGGTGTAAATGGTGTGGCAGCGAGTGAGGCCAAAGGGTTTCCCTCCTTCTCGAGTTCCAGGGACTGTGGTGTTCTGCTAAATTTAAGCTGGCGGTGACGTTTACCAGCACAGCAAAGTGCGCCAGCAAAATACACGAGGGTCAGTACCAAAACTCAGCCTTTGCTAGCTGTCACAAGACCATCGCAATAAACCTCAACAGTTACAATGTGTGTGCATTTGCACAGTGAAGTCCTTGCAGGCTCCAAAGGGCCCCCAGGTTGTCCTGCACTCTGTGATCCCAGATCCGTGCCACCTTCCCCCAGTCCTTATAGAAAGAGCCTGGCTTGCAAGACAGGCTTTTGTTCGTATTCCAGCATCATTTATTAGTGCCCTTTAGCAGGCTCCTCTCTACCTCAAAGGGCAGTGTGAGAAAACGGAAGCGCCAAGCACAGAGGATGGCTCTTGGTGGCATGTGCGAGTTCTGACTTGGTCTCTCTTGCTGTCAGATTGCTCGCTGCTGTGACACGCTTACCCTGAGCGTCTTGCTTTCTTCCTAAGCCGGCTCGGGAGACTCATGGGAATGTGGCATCAAGTAAGAGGAAAGAGGTTCTAAGAAAGAAATTCTTCACGAGGTTGCCTGTAAAGACAGCCGCGGAGCTTTGGGAAACGGCTTCTGCGATATCTACTTCCCGCAGACTTCCTGCTTTTTGGCTCGGTCTTAAGTACATAAAAGTGGCTAGGAAAAGATTCCTTTGAGGTGTTACCCAATTTGAAACTTGGCTAATGTAATTAATTGTGCAGGTAGCTATTAATAATCATTAAAGCAAGTGAAAATGAAAGTCTCGTATAATGGTTCTCTTGGTCTTTGCTGTTTCAGGTAACCACGGTAAAATCCAGAAATTAACTCAGTAATGAGTCCATTGAACTAGCATAAAACAGTTTCAGAGTGAACCCAACTACACTTGGATGAGTAAAGTGGGTTCCGTTAGGCTTCCAGAAAAATCAATTCGGTTCTGAATCCTTCCTTTTTAATAACATGGGGCTTACGACTCACTTTAGTACCACAGTTAAAACAGAATATGATACCTCTCTGGATACATATGGCGAGAGAGAGAACCATGAGACCAAAACAGTAAGAAATAAGACAGGCACTGCAGCTGGTGCTTAGTACATCTAGGCGAGAAGCATATAGTGTTCACTGTGCTTTCTTTCCTCTTGCCACAGATTTTAAAATTTTGTAAATAAAAAATCTGGGGTTCTGAGAGGGAGAAATACACTAAAATGAAAGCAATGATATAACATTTTAGCTCCACACTATTACAAGAGGAAAAATTCTGGGCCCGAGAACTTCTCTTACTTAAAGGAGATAAGCAAGCATTGGGGAGGTAAAGATGTCCACCCTAAAACCAAACTGAGACAGTCTTCTTAAAGAGATCACAGGAATTAAAGGAGAACAGACAGGGAAATCACTTCCACAGCCCACGAATCAAGGCTCTGCAGTGCAGGGTCTCTGATGCCGCTCAGACTCACACTGAGTGCCAACGGCGATTCCATACCCACACCTTGGAACCCTGGCCCCAGCTCAGCCATGTTATAAGTACACAGACACTCAGGGAGTCCCGTGACTTGTCCAAGTTGGCCCAGCTAGTTCTCAAAGATCTTTCAAGCAGGAATTTAAAATGTCTCTCCCAGGGAAGGACGTTTACTGTGATGAAGACAGAAAACCAATACACCCACTGACAATATTTCTGGATGAAAACAGGTACACAGATGCAAAGACGTAACTTTAGGGAGTTCAAATTAAAATATAAAGGTATCTCTTTCTTGCTTGATAACAACTACCTTTCCCTGAGATTTTAATATGGGCTCATAATCCATAAATGACACACAAACTCAGCAGGAAGTGACAAGCTCCTTCAATCATTAATAACAACCCAATGTTGTTTATGTTGGTACAAGCCAGCTGCACCGACTTGGTGTCAAAACCCTCCCACCGCAGGGGTTGTCATTACAGGGGGCCAAATGCTTAAAGAAGAAACCAGCTATCCTGAATATGTTGGAAGGTACATTTCTAATCACCTCCTCACACATCCTCCCTTAAAATGAACACATGATACATTTGAAATGCTTGCAAGTTTTCAGGTTAAGCTGAATTTATATGTAACAATACTCAACATAATCATGTGAGTATAAATTAAACCCACCTGATTTTACTAGGCCTCAACAAAACGTTTTATTCGTCTCAAATGAAAACCGGGTATTTGTTCTCTCGTCAAATAGATGGGAACATAAAAGGTAAGAAATCACATTAGTTCAGGCTGAGAATGAGCAATGCTCACACCTAACAAGCTAAGGTATAGCTTCTGATTAGACACAGCCAATTTGCTGTTTTCTCTACCTGTTCTTTATTTATTCCCTTATGGTACAGTCAGCATGTGTCGCCTCCATCTTTCACCTGTGCATTAGGGTTCTCTCTGGAACCAATGGCTTTCGACCTAGAGGCTATGATTTAGGAGGAAGCTGTCCTTCCCAGGACTGACTTGAGAACTCTGATCTTTTGCCACACATGCAAAGAAGCAGGTGGAATTTATGGGGCTGTAGATACAGTCTGAGAGCTGAAGCTAGTGCAACGCTTCTGTCCAGGGTCAACCACAGGAGGGAAGACCCAGAAGAGAATAGAAGGCTTCCACATCCAACCAGGTGGCAGAGGAGACATTTGGAAGGCATACTTCCAACTATCATGCAAAGGATCCCGAATAAAGTATGGCAACGAAGTCATTGCTGGGTTCACTAGAATATGGGGAACCTGAGAGACCCACATAGCTCACATGTACCAAAAGAACTTCACATACACACATAAATGAAAAATTCAAAAGAATAAAGGGACATACTCTGAAATGGGAGCAGCACACAACCCAGAAAGCCAGGGTTTCTTGGAGCAAATGCCCAAACTTAAATGGTGAGAGGGAAGATGGATTTTGGCAGCTCCACGGTTACTGTGAACCCTCGGAAGGGGTTCAAGTGGTCCTCAGGCTCCCAGCAGATGTTTGGAAAGCAAATCGTCTCTTGAAGAAAGCCACCTGAATTTAGGTCAGTAGGATTCCCAGAGATTAAGTTCAAGCAAATATTCAAGTAAAAGCTCATAAGCTGAAATCACCACATATGCCAGCAAACAGGTCACTAGAAATATATAAATGTAAACATACCACGCAAAAAGCTAGGGCACTTGAATGATGACACCCTCAATGGTGTCCCAGGGAAAAGTAACTGCCTTCACAGGCAGACATGTGGATCAAGT